ATTGGTTACAAGAGAAATAAAAATAAATTGCTTCCTAGTACTAAACCTTAGCAAAGCAGACTTGGCTCAAGGTGAAAACCCTTACCATATGCTCTGAGTAACATTGCTGAGCCAATTCTCAGGCCAAAATCTGCTCCCAAAGTCGAAAGGCTGTTTCTTTTGTCTTCTTAGGGGAAAGAGAGAGAGATGGATAGGGAGAGAAACCTTGGGGTGTTTCTGCCCCTCACTTTTATTGTCCAGTCCCCCTTTGAAATGAATTTTATTGAGGGTTATGCCTAGATGAAGTACATTCCTGCTGTGAGGACAGAGACAAGGAGTCTCATGGTGAAAGATGTGCCAGGCTGTTGTTTGTTTAAATGCAGATCAGGGTTGTTCCTGTTCCCCTTCCCTGGTCTAAGACTGGCCACTTGATAGGTGGTTGCCCATCAACTCTGATGACACCTGGTTAGACTCCTTTGTGTTCAAGAAACTGCTTTACCCAGACTTGTTTGGTAAATGCATTTCAGATCTAATTTCTTCTTATGTTTATTACTTTAAGTAGAATGTTGCTACACACATTTCGTCATGATAGTATTGACAAGTGAGTTACTGGTTTTCTAAGCTCTCTCCAATAGGCTTAGAGCAGCTGAGCCAACGCAGCGTTTTAAGTGTAGACTTGCCCTTAGAAGGTTTTCTTAATAGCTAACCTGAATCTCCGTTAGTCCAGGCTAAGCCCATTACTTCATGTCCCACTCTGGTGGGCATGGAGAACCATTGATCACCATCCTCTTTATAACAACTTTTCACACATTTGAACACTGTTTCCAGGTCCCCCTTCAGCCTTTTGTCCTCTAGACTAAACATGCCCAGTTCTTTCAGCCTTTCCTCATAGGTCATGTTTTCAAAACCTTTGATTGTTTTTGTTGTTGTCCTCTGGACTCTCTCCAGTTTGTCCACATCTTTCTTAATGCATAATATATTATATTATTTATTAATATTATTTATTACTATGATTAATTAATCAATTAATCAAGATAATCACCTAGACAACCTACACAAATTAAATTCTTTCCATCTTTCCATATATTTAACTCCTTTCAGCCATAGATTGTAGACAGATAGGTTGATAGATTTCAGTTTATCAGCCAGTTTTTCAAAGTGATCTAAAATGGACCCAAATAGATAGATTACCCTGTAATTTTCTGTGCCACATCAGGGAGCAGAGTGCAGTTAGAAGTGCAAATTTGGGGTTTGGTCATGAGGACTTCTGACATACATCCTCCTGCAAAAAATTACCACTTAAGAATTGCCAATGCTTATAATGTTTTACTGAGCAGACCTGGGGAACAAACCAGTTGCAGAAACCACATGAAATGGACACCAGTGGACTTTCCCTGGTCTCATCCAGTGTCTGGCACCAAAGAACCAGATGCAAAATTGAATGGTTACAAAGTTATTGGGTTTGGATTCTGGGTCTATAGATTGGTAGGGATGGTAGATGAAACCTCTGAAATCCAGGAAATGCAGTGTTAAATGAATGCCTCTAGGTGTCACCATAGCAATCATTAATGGTTAGTTGTTAATGTTTTATAATGAATTGACAAGTCCAATAAACTAAAAGGCAACAAAGGTAACACAGATAAATAGAAATACTTTTTAACATGACCCAAATTTAACCTGTGTTACTTATACTCCATGACATTACCCAGGGAAAGATTAGGCATTTATTCTAGATGTCGCTTCCTCACCGAGGTTGGTCTTGAGCTCCATGGTAAATTAGAAGTTGACTTAATGACATACAATGTTTCTATGGCTGCTACAAAAATTACTTATAAGATGCATGACAGTTAATGAGAGTTATTCAAAAATTTTCTAACAGATACAAAATTTGCAAATTATTTTAAGGGTCAGAGTTAAGGTTAAAATTGACTTAAAAGCATTTTTCCTTGAAGTTTCTGAGATGGGCATTGCATGTTGAAATGACCTCATCATATACACTATCGAGGATTCAAATGTTTAAAGAATATATGTTCCCATGATTCAGGGTATAAGTCAGCCTCTAACTGTCTGCACTGAGGAAGAAATTTCTGTTATGGGTAGGTTGTCTCATTGCCTATCTCTCTGACATACATATCCTAGAACTGCCACCAACTGCCACAGCTGCACTTTACCATGACAACTTGTTTGAAGTATTGTTGTAGTCAGGTTGGTCCCAGGATACGAGCAATGCAAAGTAAGGTGAGGTAATCTCTTTTATTGGACCAACTTATATTGGAGGCTTCAAAAGAAAGTTGCACAACATCTTTGAAAGATGACATTGAAGAATTTAAATTCATAAGTCTTCTGGACACTGAAAACCCTGGACTTAAGAGAGACTCTGGTTTTACGGCCCATTACAACAATTTGTAACACACCCTGCTGCTTACTAACCTTCCATTGTCTGACAACTGCAGAAGTGTTAATTTCCTACTTCATATTTATTGCCCACTTCATTTTAAATGGGCACCTGCAACATGCATAACTATCTGTCCCGTCTTGTATTTAACTTGAACACTCTGGTTACCATCTCCAGAGTTCTGTGAAACTTGAAAGTTTGTCCCTTCCATCCAAATAAGTTGGTTCAATAAATGATATTATCTCATCTACCTTGTCTCTCAACTCTGTTTCTTGGCATTCAGATGTGCCACAGGGTGGACTGAGCCCTTTATGAGGGAACTACTCCCACTCACCTCTGGCTCATTAACAGCCTTGACAAGGCCTGACAAGGGACAAATGTTCCTGATAAAGAGCCAGCAGGGAAGGGAACAGGAGGTGGAAAGCTGTGAAGTTGAGCTCCAGCTGGGAAGGGCTGGGAGTGGTGGCTTCATGAAGTGGCGACTGGGACAGAAGAAGAACCCTGGTGGTGGTAGAAGACCCCAAAGCTGAATATAAATTTTTGTGTTGTTTTGATGGGCTTTCTTTTTGGACCTGGAGGATTCTTTTGAACTGTTTCTGTTATTGAATGAGCCCCAGGCAGTGAGGCTGTTAGGTCATGAGACAGACTGTGTGGATTTCTTAAGGAGTCCTGAAGAGGAGAAAGAGAGGCTAGCCACCACAGAGCTAACCTGGCCATGAGGGGGCTCTCGGGAGGCAGGGGAGCCCTGTTACAGTATCTTTTGACTGCCATCAATTGCCACAGATCCACTGCTCTATGCTTTAATTTCTTGGCATATTATTATTACGGATAAGAATAAAACTGGAGTCATAGTTAGGAGACACAGTCACAACCATGACCTGCACAAATAAAGAACACAAAAGATCCCTGTTGCAAACAGCTTACAATCTAAGCATCCATTTTCAATGACAGATGCATTTCTTGGCTCATGTATCCTATTACTCCCACCAGCTGCCACAGATTCAGTTTTCTAGGACACTTTGATTCCCTGGCATATGGATCCTCCTTTGTCACTAAGTGCCACAGAATCACTTTTCTGTGACAAAGCCATTCCCTGGCAGAAGGATCCTACCTGTCACCCAATTGGCCCAGATTTTCTATGACAAAGTCACAAGTGAGAATGGTTCATTCAGAGTAAATGGGGCTGCCCTTGAATGTGACCCTCCTGTGTATGGCTGTTGGGGCACCTTTCATCTTTATCTTTGTCCCTTCTCCCTGCAGGAGGAAAGAGGGAACGGGAGCTCCCAGTGGGAGTTCATCCTACAGGGGGTCTCTGACCAACCACGCCTGGAGATGCTGCTTTTCCTGGTTTTCCTGGTCTTGTACGTCCTGAACCTGGTGGGGAACCTGGCCATCATCGTCACCTTGTGTCTGGAACCCAGTCTCCACACCCCTATGCTTTTCTCCTTCAGCAACCTCTCTTTCCTGGACCTTTGCTACACCACCAGCACTGTATTCCTCAGATGCTGGTGAACTTCCACAGCGCCCACAAGTCCATCACCTGGGCTAGCTGCATATCCCAGCTCTACATCTTCCTCTAACTGGCTGGCACCGAGTGCTTCCTGCTGACCGTCATGGCCTACGACTGCTACGTCTCAATCTGCCAGCCGCTGCGCTACACAATCGTCATGAGTCACCGCCTCTACCAGCACATGGCAGCCACCGTCTGGTTGTGCAGCTTCTGCAACTCCATCCTGCAGACCATCCTGATGGTGCAGCTGCCCCGGTGCGTCCGGAACTGGGTCGGCCACTTCTTCTGTGAGGTGCCGGCCCTGCTCAAGCCAGCCTGTGTCGACACCTCTGCCAGTAAGGCCCTGGCATTTGCTGTCTGTGGTCTCTTCCTGATGGTGCTGCCTGGCCTCATCCTGGTCTCCTACAGCTACATCGTCACCGCCGTTCTGAGGATTCTCTAGGCCCAGGGCAGGCTAAAGGCCTTCAACACCTGCTCCTCCCACCCAGCCGTGGCGTCGCTCTTCTACTGCACACCCATTTCCACATATTCACAGCCTCCGTCCAGCTACTTCCAGACCGGATCAAGATGGTCTCCCTCTTCTATCCCATCATCGATCCCATGCTTAACCCCCTGATCTACACGCTGAGGAACAAGGAGGTGCACAGGGCCCTAAGGAGGGTGCTGGGGAGGCTATTCTGGAGAAAGAGAACATGAGCCAGAGAAATGAGTTGGGACTGGCTGGCTTGTCTGCATTTTTATCTCTCTGATCATGTCCACACATTGTGCTGGGACTGGGAAACCAGAGGTCACTCACCATGAGCCCCAGAAGTCAGAAGAGCATGAAAAAGATGGTGTTGGTCACCACACTGTGTCCTTCCTTGGATCCATCCACGAACAAAGTTGGCTCTGCATGGAGAAGAGTGAGCGATGTGGGCATCTGAGAGTCATCTCTCTGCACCAGATCCAGCCAGCGCAGACCAGAAATACACCTACTATACAATCCCTCCGATTGAATATTGATCTAAAAACCCCACCAACATTGCCCCCTCTCTATTTAATTCTCAGATATGGATCGTTTTGGTGCTTCTTCCCTCTTCCCATGTCAAACTGCAGCTACTTCGCCACCTGGGCTGGATGTTCACCAGAGTCACCATCCTGAATCAGGTGCTTCTGCTCTCATCAGTGCTCCTGCTCTTCTGGCTGTGTTGGTGGTACGGCACCGTGCCATCCACTCCTGGTAGGACCCATGTGCTCCTCCTTTCCAGCTGGTGCTCGGGCTCCACCTTTGCTGGCCAGCTTTTCAGGCAGCATCCTGAAGTCTTCCACCTGATGGAGCCGGCCAAGCATATCTGCCACCACCTTCCCAGAGGCAGCCCGGAGCTGCTGCAGGGGCCCGCCTGGGACCTGCTCCATTCCCTCTTCCGGTGTGAGGCAGCCACGCTACAGGACTTCATGCTGCAGGCCTGCTGGATGTCCCAGGTCTTCCAGCACGTGGACATCGAGAGGTCTGTGGGGTGGCAGGCCTGCTCCCAGGCCTGGAGGCACCAGCTTAGCTTCCACCAGGTGCAGGAGATCTGCAAGACGGCCATGGAGGTCTTTGTGTACAGGCCAGTCAGCTCAGAGGAGGAGTGGAGGGATCTAGTACTTCCTAGAAAAGAGATCAAGGCCCAGACAAAGGGGTGGGGTCTTTTCTCCAATCTCCACTGAGGATTTGGTGCAATGGTTGGATGCTTGGATAAGGAGGAGCTGCCTCCCCATGCAGAGAATGAGTCACACACTTGTCCGGTGATTTTCTCACAAACCAGGGGGTGAATGCCAGTGGTAAAGCCACAAGGGGAATATCTGCGGCTCAGTCAGGAAATGCAGACCCAGCTACACACGATTCTGCAGAGCCAGAGATAGAATCCCTTTCCTACAGCACTAAATACACAAGACCAGTTCACTTACTAACAATCTGCCCTACTGCTAGATCCTTTAGCCTCCCTGTAGAGACAGGTAGTAAACAGGACTAGGGGTGAGGACTCCTGGGTTCTCTCCCCTGCTGTGGGAGGGGAGTGGGGGTCTAATGAGTTAGAGCAGCATACTTGTCCTGGATGCTAAGACTGACCAGCCACTTCTTATCCAGGGATCAAGAAAAGCTGTACTGCCATCCTAACTCTTGTGTCTCTCTGTTTTGTTAAAGGCAGGAAAGGTGACCACCAGTCACAGCCATCAACTGAACTAAAACCCGTTCTTCCCCACTATAAGGGATTGTTTGACAAAAGAAGAGAGTCTAATTGCTATCCTCTCTGCAAAGGGCCTTTTGAAAAGTTTGGGTTATGTTTGGTTCTCAGAACCAGCCAATAGCAGATTCAAACTGATGTATGTCTTGTGGTGAAATTCTTTTTCCTCTGGTGTATCTGATTCAATACATTTCCAAACTTTGGCATGAATTTGCTAGTGTTTTGCCCATGCAAATGAGCCGGCTGAGGTCTCCGTCCTCAAAACCCTGAACCAGGTTTGATTGCTTAGTGTTGTACAAGTGACAGGATCATGCTAACACCTGTGATCTCTGGGCCCCCTTTACCACTGGAAATGCACACAGAAGCTCTCCTCCTGCTCATGGGACTCGCTCAAGTTTGGCTCCCTTTCGACTCATTTACATTCCCTTTGGAACCTGGAACAAAAAACTTTTTAATGGCCCCACAAGAGGGCTCATCGAAGGCCGTGTCAAAAATAGCATGCGTTTTTAATAACACCCAGAATTTCAATTGCTGGATCCCCCAGCTGGAGCCAGGAGCCAAGATGCTAACAATGCCCAGCATGTCGCATTCTGAAGCCTAATGAGGAGCCCGGGGATATGATGTCTCAGGGCACTGACACTGCGAGGGACAATTTGCACCAATCCCAGACTTTCCTCTGTCACAGACAGGGGCTGGATATCTCGGCACCAGATCTTTGGCCAGCCAGACTAATACCAGATATTCTTCTGCACCAGGTCATTGTCCAGTTACTGCAGTACCCCATACCCTTCTGTACCAGGTGACTGTCCAGTTACTCCAGTACCCCATGCCATTCTGCAAAAGGTCATTGTCAAGTTACTGTAGGGTATAGAACAAGCCTATTCATTAGGTGTAAATGCAGGTATCCAAAGGTTTAAAAGATTTGCTCTATGCTGCTGGACACTGATGGAATTATTTTTTTCCAGGTTCTGGGTATAAACTAGGGTTAAGCTGTTATTTACGAGCCCCTGGCCTGAACTAGCTTTTCCCACAAAACTGTCAACCCTGCTCCCTGGGGCTCTGCAAACATCACCAGCTGAGTGCCAGCCCCTTGGGGATAATGCAGGGAGGAAACTCTCCCCACACTCTCCAGCTCTGACAACCATAAAGGTTTGTCTCCCTCCTCACCACATGGCCCTTAAGAGTCAGGGACAGAGATCCTGAGCTGTGTGGGAGGAGACACCTGCAGTCTAGACATGGGGCCCTTCCTGGCCACGCTTCAGATCTCAGCCCACCCAGACACATAGAGATACCATCCCCGTAAGCTCAGAGACACCAGGGCAGGGGTAGGGGCGGATGGCTGTAGAGGGGTCTGGCTATCCAGTAGTCTTTCTAACCATATGTTTCTGCATCTATTCAGCTCTCTCTCCTCTTCTGTTCATCTCGCTCTTTCTTTCCTGTCCAGCCTTCTCTCTGTCTTTCTCTGTCCTTCTAACAATTCACCTCTCTCTCTCTCTCCCTCTCCTTCTCCATGTCCATCCTTCTCTCTCTCTGACTCCCACTCTCTATTTCCATCCATCCATGCCTAGCCTCCGTCAGCCCACACACACTCAGTAACTCTCTCTCTCACCCATCTCTGGCTTTTCTAATGTTCCCAGCACTGCAGTCGCTGGGCTCTCAGGAGCCCCTTCCCACTGAGACAGGTTTTGGGCATCCCCAGCTGGCAAGGGCACACATAGTAGGAGGCTCTGTCTCAGCTCCAGGCCACTCACTTGCACACCGAGCAGGTTTGGCTGCCCAGATTGGGGACCCCATGACCATGCAACACTGACTCTGAGTGTCCGGCTAATGATCACATTTGGCCCATTCTCCTCCCAGTAAGACCTCCGGGGACGCAGCAGCAGGTGGGATGACACCTGGATCCTCTCAGTTTCCAGAGCCAGAGGTAGGTGTGCTGCCCACACAGCAGGTGGACAGAGTTAGCTGGTATCCTTACCCCCCTCCTCTCAAACCCCTTAGACATTCAGCCCCTCAGCCTGGGGCTGCCTCATCTCTGGGCTCTGCAAGCACAGGGGGGGTTTCAGTGCAGGGGATCAGGGATCGCAGCTAAGACTCTGCCCTGGCATCGGAGCTTCTGAACAGCCCAGAGCTGTTCAGGCAGGAGGGATCTGAAGAAAGCAGAGCCGGAGGTGAATGGAGGTGAGTCAGCCCAATGAATGGGAACAGCCCAATGAATGGAGACAGACAGACTGACTGACTGACCAGGGAAGTTATGATGATTAGGATGGATGGATGTTTACTGCCACATCTCCAAAATCTGGGTTGTTTCCAGCATGGGCTCATCGATAGCACAGATGCTGGGGCCCCAATCTGAACTCGGATCCTCTGGCACCGAGGGCTGGACAGAGCCTTGGTGGGAGTCCGGCGGGTGCATGGAACTCCAGTGGTGGATCTCACTGGAGGATCAGGAGCAGTTCTCTTTTTAACCACCCCTCCCCCCTCCCCCTTTGCTTTCCTCCTAAAGTTTTCTTTCTCTCCCAGTCTCTCTCTGGAGCAAATCCTCAGTGGGTACCAACAAGTTATATTACAGTTGAACCTAGAAGCCCCCACAGAGATGAGGTTCCCATATTGCCAGGCTGCATGGACACACAGTGAGAGGCGGAGATCAGGGCCCCGTTGTGTTGGGCGCTGCACAGACATACAGTAAATGAGGGACACACAATCCATGCTCCAATCTAAATATGCAAGACAGATAAATGGAGGATGAAAAGGAAGATTATTGTTCTCACTTTAGAGATGGGACCCCAGACTCAGAGAGACAAAGTCACTATCCCAAAATCACCCAGTGAGTCTGTGTCAGTGCTGGGTACTGAAGCCAGCTCTCCAGAGTCCCCAGCCCAGGACTTCTCCCCTGGACCATCCTTGGGGATAAGATCTGCCCCTCCCCACTCACTCACTCACTCACTTACTCACCTACCTTAATCTCTTCTAGAGTCTTCCCGTGTCATCAATCCTCTCATACTCCTATCAATCCTCTCATACCCCAGGGCCATCACTACATTACGTGGGACTGAGCGTAAATTGGGCAGAAAGCTGTTGCCAGGTTCACTGTTTTTCAATAACTCCCACAGTCCCTCCCCAGCTCATCCCGGCTTTTTGGAAATAATAGCCAACGATCCAGCGAGTTTCACTAACACTTATCAATTCTGCTGCTGAGGAGTCTGTTTCCTTTCTGCTTATCTCCACTCCTTGTCTTCATCTTTCAGGCCACAAGCCATTTTTGAAAGAATGGCCAAACAGCGTTGCTGACAACTATCATCGACTATATCTTCCTCCCTGTCTTCTTCCTCACTCAGATTTCTCTTCCCCCACTTCTTCCCTTCCAAGTCTCACATTTATAGATGTAACTATTTATTCAGAGGTATAAAAGCCTCAGTAGGTGCCCATGCTCCTTTCAGGGAGACCAATGTATTTGTAAAATTCTTAGCCCTTTTGGGTGACACTGACAGAGTTAGAGGAGGGAAGGAGAGCGGTGGGGGGGAACAGGAATGAAGGTGAAAGTGAGGATGGGGGAAAAGTTGAAAATGTACAACCTGGGGGGAGAAGAGACTGAATGAGGATGTTATGAATGCTAGCTATGTACAGTGCTTGGTATCATATTGACCGGTGTCTTAGAAATACAGACAGACAAGTTGGGTGACCTGATATCTTTTGTTGGAGCAACTTCTGTTGGTGATGGAGACAAGGTTTTGATCTTACACAGAGCAGGGAAAGGTACTCTTGAGTGTCACAGCTAAGTACAAAGACGAACAGAAGCCTAAATAGTTAACACGTATTTCAAGAGACCATTCAAGGTAAAGTTTCTGGTTAACTCATCTCCCATCACGGAGGGAAATGTGGTGGGGGGAGAACCTGGAGGAGGGGGCTGAGTGGGTCACAGATTGTTGTAATAAGCCATAAATCCAGTATCTCTGTTCAGTCCATGATTTTAGTGTCTAGCAAAGTTATGAATTTACGACACATACTTGATGGGGTCCACATCCTGAAAGAAATATTTCCTTAGCCCCTTCTTCTGGTGTTCAAACAACTCTCCGAGCTCAGCATCAGAGGCAAGCTGCCACGGAGCAGGATACACCAACTCACAGTGGTACCAGACTCTGCCAGAACAACAGACACAAAACCTGCAGCCATATTTCCATTTCTATGATGATCAACACCATCCAAAACACAGTTTTCAAGATCCATTACTCTAAAATATACCCATCAAAACATGTGGTATATCTCCTCCAGTGCCCCAGCAACAGCTATGCGGGTGAAGCCAGACAATCACTATGCTCTTGAATGAACTCACACAGGAAAATGATAGAAGACAAAAACACCCTGTCACTGGTGGGTGAAAACTTGTCACAAAGCAATCACTGTATATATGACCTATCAATCTTCATCCTTAAAGCAAACCTGCACAACACCTTCAAAAGATCAGCCTGGAAGCTTAAATTCATAACTTTGCTGGACACTAAAAATTATGGACTGAATAGAGACAAAATCTATATCCCACTAACTCCACCCTCATCAACATATTCTCCCCCCCTCCTTTCCCCTCTGTGACTGGAAGCATGTTACAGGCCACTTCAACATGAATGGTCCATTGAAATATGTTTTAACTACTTGTGCTGAAAAATCTTCTTCATGCTGCATTTAGCTGTGACACTCTGAGTACATTTCCCAGACCTGCAGAAGAGCTCTGTGTGAGCTCAAAAGCTTCTCTCTCTCACCAGTGGAAGCTTGTCTGTTCCCCTGGATTTGAGGGATGTGTGTACCCCAGAATGCAATCAAGGTAATTGCAACCATATTATGTGCATTGAGCCACCGTGAGTTAATAAAATAGAACACCACATAGTTAAGAGTTAAATGCAAAACAGGCTTTTAGAGGCAAAGTGAAAACTAGCTGGGAGTTTCTGCTCATCAGAATGGGAGGAGGGGAAAGAAAGGTCAACAAGTGAGATTGAAAACCTTGGAGGCTGGAAGACCTGGAGTCTGGGCACCTCTGATATTAGAAGTTTATTGAAAGTTAGGAAAAGTGATGATTTTGTAGAGGCCATTATGAACTATGTGTTTTGTAGAAGTTATAAAAGACTCGTGAATACAGTGTATTCTGGAGCAGTCCTCTGAAGCCATTTTGAGAGATGTTTTTCTTGACACCTTTTTTTTGGGGGGGGGGGGAAACGGGCCCCTGAAAACCACTGCTAATAACTAAATACCGTTCCAGATTTTAGGTAAATATATGGGATGCTTTAAACCTGTTGCTTATGTCTGTGTGCGATTAAATCTAATAAACCGCAGTTTTAGATAAAGCCCACTTACTTGCATTAATCTTTCATCAGGTGGAATTTCTGTGTTCCCATTGATTTATTCCTGACACCACCTGGAGTGAAACAGTTAAGTGGCCCCTGCTGTGAGTTCTGAAAACTGTTGGTAACAGGTCCAATAAAAGATATTACCTCATCCACTTCATCTCTCCAATATCCTCGGACTGACCCGGTTACAACAACACTGCAGACAGAGAGATGAGAGATTTCCCTGACCTTTGCATAAATGTATGCAGTGCTGTAGCCGGGAGCAGCCCCAGGTTATTAGAGATTCCAGCCTTTCCCAAAGCCATTCACTGAACACTAGCACCTATTATCACAAATCTCCTTGCTGCGGGATAGTTTTCACCCTTATTCTTTCTGGCCCCTACAGATGATGCTTGGCAAAGGGGAACGGGAAGATGGAAACCAAAGCTCCTTGGGGGAATTCATCCTGCTAGGGGTGTCTGACCGGCCACAGTTTGAGCTGCTGCTCTTTGTGCTCATTTTAACCTGCTACACCATGATCTTGCTTGGAAACACCACCATCATCGTGGTCTCATGGCTAGACCCCCATCTCCACACGCCCATGTATTTCTTCCTCAGCAACCTCTCTTTCCTGGACCTCTGCTACACCACCAGCATTGGCCCCCAGATGCTGGTGAACTTCCGCAGCACCCTACAAATCCATCTCCTGGGCCGGCTGTGTGGCCCAGCTCTACATCTCCCTCTCTCTGGGCGGCACCGAGTGCCTCCTGCTGGCCGTCATGGCCTACGACCGCTATACTGCCATCTGCCAGCCACTGCACTACACAATCATCATGAGCCGCCGCCTCTGCCTGCAGCTGGCAGCCACCTCCTGGTTGTGTGGCTTCGGCAACTCCATCCTGCAGACCATCCTGACGCTGCAGCTGCCCCGGTGCGGGCGGAACCAAATCGAGCACTTCTTCTGCGAGGTACCGGCCCTGCTCAAGCTGGCCTGTGTCGATACCTCTGCCAATGAGGCCGAGCTCCTTGCCAGTGGGGTGATTTTGCTGCTGGTTCCACTGGGCCTCATCCTGGTCTCCTATGGCTACATCAGCACCGCTGTGCTGAGGATTCACTCGGCCCAGGGCAGGCTCAAGGCCTTCAACACTTGTTCCTCCCATCTGGCCGTGGTGTCACTCTTCTATGGCACGGCCATTTCCACGTATCTACAGCCTCCATCCAGCTACTCCCAGGACCGAGGCAAGATGGTCTCCCTCTTCTACACCATGGTGACCCCCATGCTCAACCCCCTCATCTACACGCTGAGGAACAAGGAGGTGCACAGGGCCCTGTGGAGGGCACTGGGGAGAAATGTGACCGCCCAGGTGACCTGAGCTGGATAGACAATTGGCACAGAACCATCTGTGCCTCTTATGGCTTCTGTTGCCTCTTTGCTGCCCATGTGGAGCCTTCTGCCCTCCCCACAGCCCCGGCCCTCTCCACCCACACAAACCCTCTGTCCTCTCCCACTCTACAGAACAAACCTGCCCTAATCTGCCCCACAATCTGCCTTCCCTCTCCTACCCTATGCAACCCCTCTCCCATCTCACACATCCCATCTTGCACCCACACAACACCCCTGCCCTCTGCTTTCCACTTCAACCAAACACCATCCTTGGTGGACCTCTAGGAACAATACCTGTTCTCCTGCCCAAAGGGATTATTCCTATTGCTTTCTACTGTGGCAGAAAAGAGTCTGCAACTGAGTTCAGGGTTGTACCAAGTGCTGCCCAGACACACAGGGAGAGGCGGTCCCTGCCCCAGCTCAGATCAGGGCCCCATTGTGCTTGGTGATGCACACACAGTGAGAGTCAGTCCTTGCCCCAGCTGAGATCAGGGCCCCATTGTGCCTGGTACTGCACACACAGTGAGAATCAGTCCCTTGCCCTAGGTGAGATCCAGGCCATATTCCATGAGACAGGAAGATATATGAGTTCAGTGCCTTCTGAACAAAACTATTGGACATCACAATCAAAGACTGGATTAAGTCAGTGAAGGCAGCTGTATGGGTGTTGAGAGGACCTGAAGAAGATCATGTGGATTTTGTGGAAGAGCATCTCAAAGTCCAGGCCAGATCCACGGTGAAGTTCATGGCAACAGCTGACAAGCCAGATGTAGAGAAGACATTTCAGCTTCTCTTAAAAGGTGTATGGAGACAAAGTGTCCATTTGAACCAGACTTAAGGAATTCTATGAGCTGACACAATCCAGGTGGGACCACTCAGGCCTACTCATATGAGCTCCGGGAGAGAATGAGTCAGGTGAAGTGCTAAGACCCACAACAACTTCCGGACATGGATATGGTCCTGAAAGCATAGTTAGGGCTGGGGCTCCGGGATGATTCCCTCCACTGTGAGATGAAGAAGAGGTTTAAATAAGAGCCCAGTAAGAATTTCCATGAACTCCTGCCAGCTGCCATTACATGGCCTGAATTAGAGCAAGATCCTGTGGAAGAGATGGCCAAGCCCAACCCCTGTACACGGAGTGGAGGCCTAGGTAATGCAGCTACTGGGGAAACACAGTTAACACTGGAAAGTTTAAAAGAAGCTGTCCAGAAACTGGCGAGCAAACAGGGGGTGATGCTGAAAGTGATGACTGAGGTGATGAAAGGTAAAATCTCCCCTTGTACGCCAAAGGATCCCGAAGATCCCCGCTGAAGGATATCCAGGGAAGGTACATTTACTACACTTGTGAAAGGCCAGGGCGTACTAGCTGAGAATGTCCCCTGAGAAGGAGACCAGAGCCCCAGGTACTCAAAACCAAAGGGGCATCAGGAATGAGTGGCCCATCTACAGTAGAAGGCCAAGTTGTGGCAGAAGGATTCCTAGGCCTGACCTTGGTGGAAAATCAGTCTGCATACAGTGCTGATAGGATCTCGGACAGTGCCAGCATATCTATGGACTTGTGTGAGTGAGCATTTGGAGACTAACTGCTGAAGTACTTATGGCCGAGGTGAAGAGCAGCTGTTTGTCTGATACTGGCTCAGAAATAACCACTAAAACCGAGTTGCATTTTCAAAAATATTTGAAGGATAAGGAGCCGACCATACACCAAATACACAGTTTGTACTTGTAACAGCAGTTAATGAAATGGCAACCCCAGTGGCGGGATGCCTTGAAATAGACATAGTCTATAGAGCTGAGTGTTTCTCTACCAGTAGGGCGGTAGGTGGCTTTCATCTTGGTCCATGTGGACCCTCCATTACAGCTGGTTGGGAATTTTTCAACTCAACATTTTCTTGTCAGAATATGCTGATTCATCTAACCTGACAATTTTGGGTGGGGGGTTGGGGTCAATATTTTTTGAGAAAAGTAAAAAAGTTTCAAAATTGTGGAAACCTCCCATTTTGACATTTAGTAAATGGAAATTTCCATCTTTCTGGTTCGAAACAACTTTTCATTTAGGAAATTAAACATTAAACAAAACATTTCAATTGACCCAAACTAATTTTTTTATACATTTTTGGTTCATGCAAATTTTCAAGATTTCAACTTTTTGTGCTGATTCCAGATGGGGAAAGGTTTAAAATGTCAAACAATTTCACAAGATGTGAACACGCTTTCCTACCCGTCTCTGTTCTACATCATTTGAGTGCCCTGCTCAAGATGGCATCAGTCCGTGAGTTATATGAGTGGAGCAGACAGGGAATTCCTGCCCAAATATCCCTCACTTTAGTAAAGTCTTCCTACAACATCTACTGGCCAGCTTGGTATCTAGAGGGCCCAGAGCTCTGTGAGTGTAATCACTTAGCTCCACACACAGTATTATTATTTATTATTTATGTTTAGCTGACAAGCGCTGAGGGCCCAGTCATAAACCAGGTCCCCACTGTGCCAGGTACTGAACAAACACAGAACAAAGAGACAGTTGCTGCCCCAAGGAGCTGACAATCTAAGTATAAGACAAGAGACAACAGATAGATACAGACAGATGTGGGAGCACAAAGTAACAATGAGACAGTATTGGTCAGTAAGGTGCCCGCTCACACGCCCGCGGGTCGGTGGCGGTTTTCGCAGCTCACAAAGGGGGGGGGGGGGGGGTTGGTCGGGGGGCACCGCTCGCCGTGCGTGGGTCCCCTGGAAGGCCCATCGTTTTGAGCAGGCAGGGGTGGATGGATGTTTTATTTTTAAACAAAAAAAGAAAGGGCGACAAGAAAAAACGAAGAGGAGGAAACCGGGAAGCAAAGAGCACAAGCAAAGGGGTTTTAAAGTTGGGGGGAAGATGACAAGTTGGTTCTACAGGAAGATACAGAGAAATGTAATAAGTTCGTTCGGGGGAAAAAGGGTTCCCAGGGATAACCCTTTCTTCCATGACCCACCCCCAGACCAGGGAAACCCGTCACACCCCCCCACCAACCCCGACAACGGAAAGGGCCCAAAGGGGACCCCCCCGGGCGCCCCCCTCCTTCCCTGCCCTGTTCACCCTCTCAACCCCCCACCCAAAAAACCCCAACCACACCCCTACCCCCAACCCTCACCTAAAACCCGGTAAGGAAGCACCCGCCCCCAGCTCCCCCGAGGGGTGGCACCCGCGCCCCGTCCCAGAAACACTCCCAGGGGTGGTTTTACCAAGCCCGGTAGCCCGGGTTCTGGTTACCCATCCAAAAAGCCCCACCCCCCCATTGGTAGCAGCAAAGGACCCAAGCCAAACCAGAAAGAAAAAAAAACCCAAATTTATTATTTAAAAAACTCTGATTTTACCCCCATTTTCGCTCCCCTTTTGGACGGGCGCAAGCCCTCCTACCAAGGGAAGCTCCCCCGGCCCCCGAGGTTAACCCTTTACGACCCTGTCTCCTTTGTCGGACCCCCGCATTGTTGATTCTGAACAACTTGGCTCGGGATTGTTCCGAGGTTAATTCAAAGGGCCGTTGATTTCAAGGGCATCAGTTGCCCTCAAAGTGCAGTGACAGGGTTTGGGAAAGGTTTTGGGAAAGGAAAGCCTTTTAGAGCTAAAGAAAAATAAACGGTTTTATTATTGTATTTTTTATTAGTTTATTTTGTTTTCTGGGGGAATTTCTTTTAAATTATTTTTTATTGATCCGTAGGACAGTTAAATTCTTTTAATTTGTGTTCTAGGGCCTAAACTAATTACACAGTCTGTTACACAAGTTTCTTTAGTTCAATTTCCTTTATGTCAGTTCTGGTTGTTTCTGTACCCTCTCCATGGGTGGTAATAAATAGTGTACCCACATTTCGGGTATGGTGTTCTAGGGGGGGGGGGGGGGGGACACTAGGTTTTAGTCAAGCAAGGGCTCGACTAAGCTCCAGGCCCATTCAATCTGCCCACGATGAAGGGTCTGTTGCTAAGGCCCCCAGTTATTTCATTCTCTGGGTTCTCTGATTGATTGAAGTTCAGATAGCGAGCAGGCTAGGATGTAGATAGATCAAGTGTGACTTTACTTTTTCCAGGGTGCCCACCCTGTCTGCCCCAAGTTCCTTCGCCTCTTCCTGCCCCATCGCCCTCCCCAAGGCCCCACCCTCACTCCACCTCTTCCCACTCTGATCCGCACCCCCCAAAAGCCTCTGCCTGCCTGTTGCTTTCTGGTCTCCATCCTCCCCCTAACCCCTCCCTGAGCTGCCAAACATCTGTTTGGTGATGCTCCTACCAGCTGTTTGATGGCATCCCCAATCAGCTGTTAGGAGCCAGCCCTTATTATCTGATCTGGGGCACGACCAAACTGGTCGATTAGCTGCAGCACTGAACAGCTGTGGCTTGTGGGTGCTTAATGTGGGTTTCCCTTCCCCCCTGGGGTGCCCCTTGAAACTGGGGTACCACTGAGCCAGCCTGACCCACCAGCCTGGGCTCCCTTTACACTGTACTGCTGTGCAGCCTGCCAAGCCCTCCTTTAGGCTTCAGACTGCACTTTAGCAGTACACATACAGGTAGTCACATACGCAGCTGCGGAAAAACACAGACGTTGAAATCAGCTTTGCATGGGAAGACTCAGCTAAGTAACTGCCCAGTACTCAAGTGCACCCCTCCTCTAGAGGGTAAACCAAAATTATACCGTCTTGCGCTACATGGAGATCTGTACAGTGTAAGCTCATGAAATTGGCCCCCTCCCTCAATGTGGAGGAAGGTATGCAACAGCTTTTGCCCCAAAGTAATATTTTCCACACACTAGTCTTAGACAAAACAAAACAAGTTTATTAATGACAAAAGGTAGATTTTAAGTGATTATAAGGAAAAGCAAACAGATCAAAGCAGATTACCTAGCAAATAAAACAAACACGCAATGTAAGCTTAATATACTAAAGAAATTGGATATTGTGATGGGGCAAGGCCAGATGGCTATAGAAAAGTAGTGGGAGATAGATATATTAGCTCCAGGCTAAACAAATCCCTGATACCAGGATAAGTTAAATGGCAGCTGCTCCAGGTCAACTAAGACACCTGGGGCCAATTAAGAGCTTTCCAGAAGTCAGGGAGAATGCTAGGTTGATTGGGACACCTGAAGCCCATCAGGGACTGGCTGAAACTAGTTAAAAGCCTCCCAGTTAGTCAGGTGGGTGCGGATATCAGGAGCTGTGGGAGGAAGTTGCGCTGTTGGAGAGACTGAGCAGTACACACCATATCAGGCACAAGGAAGGAGGCCCTCACTGATTTATGATGAAAATGGCTCAGTAGACTGTGACCCTTGTCTCTAGAGAGAAGAGGGTTACGTGGAGGGTCACAGTGAGCCTCTGAGGCTAGCGAAATCCACCAGGAAACATGGGATCTGAGGAGACAAGGACAGAGCTTTGTCACAATATGTATAGCAAATTCACACCCTACATGTTGTTTAGGCAGATTGCAGAAATTCCTGAAGGCAAGCTACACTTGCTTGCAGGTTAAAACCCCAGTTATTCCTTTCACAGGCTAGACAACCCTCTAGCCTGGGTTCAGCCTTACTCCCCTTGTTCAGTCTTTTTGTTTCTCCAGGTTTTCCAGCAGTCGCCTTTCTTGGGCAGGGAGTCAGTGAAGAACGAACTATGATGATGTCACTCCCCTGCCTTAAATAGCTTTAACGTATGGCAGGAACCCTTTGTCTCCCAGTTTGATTCCCACACCCGGTCAGTGGAAAAATGACAAGTATTATCATGGAGTCCAGCGCCATGTTACTTGGTCACATGTCCCTGTAGGGCCACCACATCCATACTGTTTCCAGAATCCCCAGAAAGGCTTACCAGTGGGAGATTAGCATCTTTTAAGACCTATTATTTTCCCTAATGATCCTTCCCCCAGCCAGCCATCTAGACTTATAGCATTCTGTCTAGTGGGTGTTTCCCAGGTTTAAACACACCTGTAATAGATGCATAGACAATCTTCCTAACTTCAGATACCAAAAGGATATATGCTTACAAGTAGGATAATCATATTCAGTAAATCATAACCTTTCCAAAGATATCTCACAAGCCTTATCCTGCACAAAATACATCATGGTTATGCCATACTCATATCATAATAATATTACTATGAAGAATATGGGCAGTAATGCCACATTGAGCTCCCAATTTTTTTTTCATGGGTGTTCCAACGCAGAGCACCCACGGAGTTAGCGCCTCCATGCTGAGATTTCAGAGGGAGGAAGTGGGTGAGGTAATATCTTTTATTGGACCAACTTCTGTTGGTGAGAGACACAAGCTGTCTAGCTACATCGAAAAGTTGGTGCATTAATAATAGATAGATAGATAGATAGATAGATAGATAGATAGATAGCATTAGGTTCTAAACCAGTGTTTCCCAAACTGGGGTTCGTGAACCCTTGCGGGTTCATAGAAACATAGAATATTATGGTTGGAAGAGACCTAAGGAGGTCATCTAGTCCAATCCCCTGCTCAAAGCAGGACCAACACCAACTAAATCATCCCAGCCAGGGCTTTGTCAAGCCAGGCCTTAAAAACTTCTAAGAATGGAGATTTCACCACCTCCCTAGGTAACCTATTCCAGTGTTTCACCCCCATCCTAGTGAAACAGTGTTTCCTAATTGTTAGGATATAGATATTCAGGCCTGTCTGCAAAGGCCTATACTTTAAGAATTTAGGTGTATTCTTATCACTTGGCTAGTTATAGAGGTCTAAAAGAGAGAATCAAAATCACTGTCTGACTGGATAAGGCCTTTTCTCACTGTGACAGTCTGAGGCCCTGTGCTTAGGCTAAGGCCTCTGGCTAAGCAGCAGAGGCAGCCGTAAGCTGGGAAGCGAATGGTCACATCTTAACATTCCAAACTCGTCACATTGAAAGAAGGTGCTATTGGACTGTTAGGAATACAATGCTGTCCTGATAATGCCTATCACCTCCAGAAAAAGGGAAGTGCCTAGAAGATGTAAAAGGAAACTTAGTTTGACAGCATCCTGTCTGGCAAGAACTCACTTATCAATAGCAGGGGGGTGAAATCCTCATTTCTTTGTTGTTCTATCATCGTAGTCTCCACTTCCCTATTGTTTGTCTGTATAACCTCTGTCTGGATCTGTGATTGTTTCTGTCTGCTGTATAATTAATTTTGTTGGGTGTAAACCAATTAAGGTGGTGGGATTGGTTAGTTAAATTTCAGTAAAATGATTGGTTAAGGTATAGCTAAGCAGAACTCAAGTTTTACTATATAGTCTGCAGTCAATCAGGAAGTGTGTGTGTGGGGGAAATGGGAACAGGAAATGGGGGTGGGGGAATTGAAATAATGTTTTGCTAAGGGCGGGGGGAGAATGGGAATAGGGAATGGGAACAGGGACACACACCAGGCTCTGTGGTGTCAGAGCTGGGAAGGGGGACACTAAGGAAGGAAATTGGAATCATTGCTTGCTGGAAGTTCACCCCAATAAACATTGAATTGTTTGCACCTTTGGAGTTTAGGTATTGTTGCTCTGTGTTCATGCGAGAATGACCAGGGAAGTGAGTACGTGAAGGAATAAGCCCCTAACACTAATATCCAAACTAGACCTCCCCCACTGCAACTTGAGACCATTACTTCTTGTTCTGTCATCTGCCACCACTGAGAACAGCCTAGCTCCATCCTCTTTGGAACCCCCCTTCAGGTAGTTGAAGGCTGCTATCAAATCCCCCCTCACTCTTCTCTTCTGCAGCCTAAATAACCCCAGTTCCCTCAGCCTCTCTTCGTAAGTCATGTGCCCCAGCCCCCTAATCATTTTTGTTGCCCTCCACTGGACTCTCTCCAATTTGTCCACATCTCTTCTGTAGTGGGAGAACAAAACTGGACGCAGTACTCCAGGTGTGGCCTCACCAGTGCTGAATAGAGGGGAATAATCACTTCCCTCGATCTGCTGGCAATGCTCCTACTAATACAGCCCAATATGATGCTGGCCTTCTTGGCAACAAGGGCACACTGCTGACTCCTATTCAGCTTCTCATCCACTGTAATCCCCAGGTCCTTTTCTGCAGAACTGCTGCTTAGCCGGTCGGTCCCCAGCCTGTAGTGGTGCATGGGATTCTTCCTTCCGAAGTGCAGGACTCTGCACTTGTCCTTCTTGAACCTCATCAGATTTCTTTTGGCCCAATCCTCCAATTTGTCTAGGTCATGCTGAACCCTATCCTTACCCTTCAGCGTATCTACCTCTCCCCTTAGCTTAGTGTTATCTGCGAACTTCCTGAGGGTGCAATTCAATCCATCATCCAGATCATTAATAAAGTTGTTGAATGAAACGGGCCACAGGACCGACCCCTGGGGCACTCCGCTTGATACCGGCTGCCAACTAGATATCAAGCTGTTGATCACTACCCATTGAGCCTGACAATCTATCCAGCTTTCCATCCATCTTATTGTCCATTCATCCAATCCATACTTCTTTAACTTGCTGGCAAGAATACTGTGGGGGACTGTATCAAAAGCTTTGCTAAAGTCAAGATATATCACATCCACCGCTTTCCCCATATCCACATAGCCAGTTATCTGATGATAGAAGGCAATCAGGTTGGTCAGGCATGACTTGCCCTTAGTGAATCCACGTTGACTGTTCCTGATCACCTTCCTCTCCTCCAAGTGCTTCAAAATGGATTCCTTGAGGACCTGCTCCATGATTTTGCCAGGGACTGAAGTGAAGCTGACCGGTCTGTAGTTCCCTGGGTTCTCTTTCTTCCCTTTTTTAAAGATGGGCACTATATTTGCCTTTTTCCTATCGTCCGGGACCTCCTCCGATTCCCATGAATTTTCAAAGATAATGATCAATGGCCCTGATATCACATCAGCCAACTCCTTCAGCATCCTTGGATGCATTAGATCTGGACCCGTGGACTTGTACATGTCCAACTTTTCTAAATAGTCCTTAACTTGTTCTTTCACCACTGAGGGCTGCTCACCTCCTCCCCATACTGTTTTGCCCAGTGCAGCAGTGTGGGAGCCGACCTTGCCTGTGGAGACCGACGCAAAAAAAGCATTGAGCACTTCAGCTTTTTCCACATCATCTCTCACTAGGTTGCCTTCCTCATTCAGTAAGGGGTCCACATTTTCCCAGACCTTCTTGTTGTTGCTAACATACCTGTAGAAATCCTTCTTGTTACCCTTCACATCCATTGCTAGCTGCAACTCCAATTGTGCCTTGGCCTTCCTGATTACACCCCTGCATGCTCAAGCAATATTTTTATTCTCCTCCCTAGTCATCTGTCCAAATTTCCCCTTCTTGTAAGCTTCCTTTTTGAGCTTAGGCTCACTGAACATTTCACTGTTAAACCAGGCTGGTCGCCTGCCGTACTTGCTGTTCTTTCTGCACATCGGGATCGTTTGTTCCTGTACCCTCAATAAGGCTTCTTTGAAATACAGCCAGCTCTCCTGGATGCCTTTCCCCCTCATATTAGCCTACAGCTAGTATGGTTTTGCTACCATTTGCAACACCATACTTACACAAGAAAGCCTTTTCCTTGTATGAACATCTGAAAACCAAATACAGAATCAGACTCAGGTGTGCAAAACGTATCAGGGGGTTCTCAGAAAAAATTTTGTAATGGTGGACAGAGCTGTCCCTAGGGACTCTGGGTGCGGGGGCCAGCAGCCCGAGCCCCGTGACCATGACTTCCTGGCAGAACATAAACTTCGGTTGGATCAGTGCACTAAAACCAATATAACTGCATGCCAAAAGGACTTCGCAAAACTTTGAGGCAATACTTTCCAGCTATGTCAGGGGATGATGACTGGATTCGCAACCCTTTTGATGATACCACTTTCTCAATGCAGATATTGAGCACTGAGGAAAAAGAGAAATTGACTGAGATCTCCTGTGATTATGAAATGAAAAGGAATTTCAGAAGTCTGTCATTAATCACCCTTTGGCTGAGTTTAAGAAAGGAGTACCCCCTGCTGGCCGAAAAAGCTACTATAGTTTTGTTATCATTTTCAACAACATACTTATGCAAGAAAGCATTTTCCTCGTTTGCATATCTAAAAGCCAAATGCGGAAGAATGAGTTTAAGCTTTATTGTAGTTGTGTGTTGTTTGCCTGGACTGCTCAAGATCCGAATGCTTGTGGGAGGAACTCTTTATTTGAATTGGCTTCTTAAATACCTTCATGCTGTTTCACGTCTGGTACTCCTTGATGAAACATGTGGGAGGCTTAATCAAAGTGATATGAGTTACAAAAGTGAAATCTTGGAAGAGTGTTGCAGTTTTCAGAATGTAATAAAATTAATAATGTAATGATAAATAATAATGTAATAATAAATAGTGTATAATAAGCATGTTATAAAAAACCCAAATTATTTGAAAGATCACTGCTTCTATAGTTTATGCTCAGGTAAGGGAGAAAATCCCTGGAAATATTCAGTTTTAGGGGAGGATTCGTGAGATTTGATATTTTCTTGAAATGGGTTTGCGGGTTGTTAAAGTTTGGGAACGACTGATCTAGACAGACAGGTAGTCACTTAATTTATTTTTAAGTCTGGAAAGTGGCCAGTTATTTGCGCAGCACAGACACCTAAATGGAACAGTATACTAGGATATAGACATGTCTTATCCGGTCCCCTCGACCTGGGTTCCTCTTGACACACTTCGATTCACTTCTGTCTGGCACGGAAAAAAATGTCAGTGGCCTGTCTGGCCCCGCTGTAAGATCATCAAGATTGTGTCACAGATAGCAAGCATCTTTAATGAGACACAGATTTCCCCAGACATGAGTGGAAGCCAATGTGCTAACAGTACCTGGCGCGCTGCATCCCGACGCCTAATGAAGAGACCTGGGGCAACAGCACCCTGCTCCCAGCGGGCCCTAACTCCTCAGGAGGCGCGCGGAACCAGGCAGCTCCCAGAGCTTTCTCTGTTGGAGGCAGGGGTTGGGACTCTCTGCACAGACCTGCCATGGAACTTGTTGAGGTGACACATTGGAGAGTCCAGGGCTCACCAGCTAAGGGCTGGGACAAAAAGGAGAGAGACTTGACTGAGATCACAGAAATGAACCATCAGGGAAGTGTTCTGCCCAATGCCTGTGCCAGACAAATAATTGGCCAGTTACTCCAGAACCCCATACCCCCTGCCACAGATCAGTGGCCAGCTAGTTCAGTACCCCAAACCCCCCTGCCACAGATCACTGAACTGTGACTCCAGAACCCCATACACCTCTGCCCAGATCACTGGTCAGTTACTCCAGTACCCCTGTCATAAATATGAAGGGAAGGGTAACCACCTTTCTACAGTGCTATAAAATCCCTCCTGGCCAGAGGCAAAACCCTTTCACCTGTAAAAGGGTTAAGGAGCTAAGATAACCTCGTTGGCACCTGACCAAAATGACCAATGAGGGGACAAGATACTTTCAAATCTGGCGAGCGGGGGAGGGGGGGAAACAAAGAGTTTGTCTGTCTGTGTGATGGTTTTGCCAGGGAACATATCAGGAATGCAGCCTTACAACTCCTGTTAAGTTAGTAAGTAATCTAGCCAGAAATGCATTAGATTAGCTATTGTTTAATGGCTGATTAAAATACGCTGTGCTGGATAGAATGTATATTCCTGTTTTTGTGTCTTTTTGTAACTTAAGGTTTTGCCTGGAGGGATTCTCTATGTTTTGAATCTGATTAACCTGTAAGGTATTTAGTATCCTGATTTTACAGAGGTGATTCTTTTACCTTTTCTTTAATTAAAATTCTTCTTTTAAGAACCTGATTGATTTTTCATTCTTCTTAAGATCCAAGGGTTTGGGTCTGTGTTCACCTGTACAAATTTGTGAGGATTTTTATCAAGCCTTCCCCAGGAGAGGGGGTGAAGGTCTTGGAGAGATATTTTGGGGGAAGACATCTCCAAGTGGGCTCTTTCCCTGTTCTTTGTTTAACACTCTTGATGGTGGCAGCATACGGTTCAAGGACAAGGCAAATTTTGTACCTTGTCCTTGAACAAGTTTTTAACCTAAGCTGGTAAGAATACGCTTAGGGGGTCTTTCATGCAGGTCCCCACATCTGTACCCTAGAGTTCAGAGTGGGGAAGGAACCTTGACAACCCAATACACCCCTGCCCGAGATCACTGGTCAGTTACTCCAGTGCCCACACACCTCTGACCCAGATCACTCGACAGTGACTTCAGTATCCCATACACCCCTGCCTCAGATCACAGGCCAGTTACTCCAGTACCCCACACACCTCTGCCCCAGATTATTGTCCAGTTACTAGGGTACCACATACTCCCCTGCCCCAGATCACTGGCCAGCTAGTCCAGTACCCCATACACCCCTGCCCCAGATCACTGGCCAGCTAGTTCAGTACCCCATACACCTCTGTCCCAGATCACTCGACAGTTACTCCAGTACCCCGTACCCTCCTGCTCCAGATCATTTTCCAGTTACTCCTTTACCCCACATTCCCCTGCCCCAGATCACTGGCCAGTCCCCCATGCACCCTGTGCCCAAGTCACTGACCATATAAAAACAACGAGGAGTCTGGTGGCACCTTAAAGACTAACAGA